AACATAGAATTTCGCAGTTGAAGGGAGATGGACTGTCTGCTGCCGTGCCTTATACAGAGCTCTAGGAATTGGCTATTTGACATACAAGGGACAGCTTTTTGTGTGTACTTTCAGTGACAAATGTTTGTTGACTGTTTAAGGAAAAAAATAATCCTGAGTATGTCAGTGAGGAAAGTATTTATTCTAATATAAGACTCCAATTAGTCACCACCAACCGCTAAGCAAAAGTACTCCAAAAGTCACACCTGATAGGCACTAACCAGAAAGAGAATAGTGAGAGCACAGTTGTATTGAGCACATACTATGTGCTGTGCATGGCGTATTTACATGAATTGTTGTCATCAGTCCTAACAGGGACTCAAGCTGTGAACACACGCTTTGCAGATGAGAATAGATTAAGTTATTTATCCAAGGTCACCAGCTAGTAGTAAATGCTAAACCAGGATTTGGCCTCAGGCAGTCTGACTCCAGAGTATGCTTTTAATGACCATGTTACTCTGTCACTCAAGGTCTGCTAGTTGTTATATTTTCCTTTGCTGCAGTTAAACATTGCTTTTTCTCCTCCAGCAATAATATAAAGGCAATTGTACAAGAAGCTGTGAACAGTGGTCGTTGTGATTAGCCAACAGAGCGTTGCTAGAACAGGCGCAGCCACAAATACAGACATTTTCAAATGATAATTTTGATCACAATCATAATTTTGAATACAGAAAATGAAACACAGCATTCCTTTAAAAAAAACTGTTAAATTATTTCTTCTCTCTCTTTACCTAGTGCTTATCATTCAGAACAGTCAACAGTCAGGGGAACTTAGTGCTTTCTTCTTTGGAGAGTGCAGTATCTTATCATCCAGTTAGGCTGAACTGATTGAAATGCCATTTGTGGAGCCCAGGCGTTTCCAGGAGCTTGCTAGAGCTGTGGAGCATCCTTCAAAACCATGCAAAAGAGAAAAGAAGTGGCTATGTGAGAGTCCGTTAGTGAACTCCAGAGCACTTGTGAGCTGTATGCACACAAGGCCAGCGTCTAGATCAGAGGCTGTCTGTGCAGTTCCCGAGCCTACACCATCAGTGTCACCCGAGAACTTGCTAGAAATGCAGAGTCTGAGGCCTTACCTCAGACCTTGAATCAGAGCCCCTGGGGGTGGGGCCTAGCAATCTGCATTTTAACAAGGCCTTCCAGTGATTCTGATGCCCACAAAGGCTTGGAAATCACTGTGTTCAAGATGCTGCAACTCTAACGTATGAGTGTAATGTGCAGTTGTTTTTTCCCCATTCCTCTCTATACTGCTAAGCAATATAACCAGTTTATCAGCATTACTCATATGTATCTTCCCGTAGTCTGCTTCTTCTTATCATGTGTCCACACTTGAAATTTTTGTTTGTTTGTTTTATTAATGAAGGAACTCATAGGAAGATAATAGAGTGGGTTGCAAAAGCAAAGTAATGAGGAATAGAGCTTTATATATCCAGCTGGGAAAGAAATGTCAAAATGAGTTTGCCTAGTTAGATACAAGACTGGCTAACTTTTTGCAAGACAGTAAGATGTCATCCTTAGAGTTAACATCTCTACTGGGGTACAGCATCCTAACAACTTAATCTTAAAAGGCTGTGAGCCATCTTCCCCTTTATATTTGCTTATATTTGTTCATCGAATATATTGTGGCCCAAAAGTGTCAGATCAGGGTTGTAGTTGAGTGAAAGGTGGCCAGATATAGCAAAATACATGATTAAATTAGAGGTCTTGAGAGAAGGAGGCTTTCCTGAACTCTCTGGGTGGCCCTAAATGCAACCACATGTACCTGTAAGAGTAAGGCAGACAGAGTTTTGAGAGAGAAGAGGAGGCAGCATGGAGGGCGGCAGCCATAAGCCAGAGAATGCCTGAAGCCACCAGCAATCAGAGAGGCCGGGTGCAGACTCCCCCTCAACCTTCAGAGGAGCGTGGCCCTGCTAACACCTTGATTTTAGAATTCTAGTCTCCAGAACTTTGAGAGAGGAAACTTCTGTCTTTTCAAGTCAAACAGTTTGTGGTAATTTGTATTTGTTACACCAGCCATAAGAAACTAATACAAGGATCAAGAAGACAGAAAATCCTCTCCCATGATATGAAGAAAGCCCACAGTCTCAATTTGCCTTTTTCAGAGTTGGGCATACATTTTTCTATCATAAGTTCTTTTGCTTTTACAATGAGTATGAATTTGCTGCCACAACCCTGGAGCACAAGCAATGTCCTGTTACTTTTATTTGCTGATATTAAATCTGACCCTAAGACCCCACTTGCCAGGATGATATGATAGTTGATCTCACTTTCGTATTTCAGGTCACCTTCCCTGTATCAGGTGTCTGGGTTAGGAGGAGGTGCTAGTAGCTTTCACGTGGCCTAGAAAGGGAGACTTCTTGTTCGTGGTGACCCATGAGCCTGGGCCACCCAACGGTGAGGCACAGATACTCCTGCAAGCCCAGAGGTGCCCCACCATCCCTCCCTCTTCCCACCTCTGACTGCACACACCCGTGCAGGTGCCTCTCCCTGTGCTGTCTGTGGGCCTTGCGTGTTGCTAGGCAGCCCCCTCGGGCGGTCACCTGCTCTTCCCCACTTCTGAAGCCCAGGCAGTTGGACTTTGCTAACACAGCCCTCTGCCACTCCAGATCCAGATCCAGGACGAAAAGACAAGACCCCTCTCAGGTTCCTGTAAGTTCCCCTTAGTCTCCTGGACTGACCAGAGAACCTTGGCTGAAAACAGTTTCTGGGGTTGAGGAGAGAAAATACCTTTAATTCATTCACTCCTCTCTTCACTGACAGCATATTTTCAACAACTATTTATCGACTACTTATGGAGCAGCTACTGTCTGCTGGGAGTTACTGAGTATTCCCAACAAGGAAAGAAACATTTATTAAAACATTAAATTAATGTTTCAATAAATAAGCGTTCCACATTTATTAAAGCAACCCCCCAACACTGTTGTTTACAGTTACAATCACATCATTATTGCTTGCAATCCACAGTATTCTTAGGGCTTCCAGGTTGACTCTTCACCCATGCGCTGGCCCCCCCAGGGGCAGCTTTTCTGTGTTTTCTGTCTTCCTAGCATGGCTTGGGAAAGGCAGTGCAGGGCAGTGGTGATGAGCATGGCCTTGAAGCACCAGCCCTGTCACTTACTAGCTGTGTAACTTTGGGCAAGGGGATTAAGTTCTCTGTATCTCAACATCATCATCTTGAATATGGAGTTGATGATACCTACCTCATGAAGTTGCTGAAAGAGTGAAATACGTTGTAATGTCTAAAGCAGGTGTCCCCAAACTATGACCCGCACGCCACATGTGGCCCCCTGAGGCCATTTATTCGCTCCCCCCGCCGCACTTCAGGAAGGGGCACCTCTTTCATTGGTGGTCAGTGAGAGGAGCACAGTATGTGGCGGCCCTCCAATGGTCTGAGGGACAGTGAATTGGCCCCCTGTGTAAAAAGTTTGGGGACGCCTGGTCTAAAGTACTGAGAGCAGTGTCTGGTAGTGCTATCGTGTCATGAGAGAAGAGGGGGTGTCCTACAGGACCGACAGTGGTAGGAAGACGAACAGAGAGCAGCTGAGCGATGTGGAGGCGAGTGCTGTGTGCAGAGGAAAGTTTCGCTGTAGAACCGTGATTTTCAAACCATGACTGCTTTTCAGAATTATCAGAGGAGCTTTTCAAACATCAAAAGGCCCAGGGTCCAGCCCCAGAATTTCTTATTTAATAGGTTGCGGTGGGGTCCAGGCCTGTTCAGGTAATTCCCACGGAAGCCAGGGTTGAGCGTCCCTGCTACAGACCTAACACACATACACCAAGAAGTCACTCACCCTACCCCACCTCCACTCTACAACCAAAGGGCTGGGGAAATTTACCCCAAGGCCCTCTCCTCTTCCCCAGGGCCTAGCTTGTCTCAGTGCATCCCTCAACCTGAAGCCCGTGGGCTATGTGAGCGCTCCCTCCAGGTCAGGCCCTGTGCTGGGCATCCAGAGTACAGAAGCTGCCAGACAAGCTTGCTGTCCCCATGGATCCCTGGTTGACCAGAGCAGTAGACCAAAACCAAAAACACAGAAATAGAAACTCTGCAAGATAAATTGTTGAGTGAGAAACTAAAGAATGGCAAGCCTCTGATGTTTCATGTTGTTTGAAACACATTCCTGTTCGTGTTACCATACACAGCACTCTGGCTGTACAAATGTTTGTGTGACTGCAGAAAGGTCTAGTGGTCCACCTCTTAATTTCCATGACTGATTTTTTTTTCAAAGTAAGTATTTTTTGTGAAATTAAAAATTAATCACCTTTTTAAAATTACAGCAGACTCTTGGGGAAAGGTCTTCTGAAAATCCTTGCGTTTGGCCAAGTTATGTAGGTATTACGTTGCCTGTTAATTGTAGCAAAGCAGTTGGCCTTATCAGACATGATTTTGATATCTAAGTGGTTCATTATTATTTAATAGAGAGCAGAATCCTAAGAAATGATGCATAAGGCAATGCCAGCAGAGGAAGAGAATTCCGCACCAAGATCTGCTGTGCGCGCACAGGGAGAGGCCTGGAGGCCACTTTCCCTTCTGCAGCTTTTATGCTTTCACCCGGAGGCCGATCTTCCTCGCAAGCGGAAAGCTTGACTATCAGATTCTCAAACTAGACTTGTGATGGAGACTGCCCGTCCTAGCTGTGTATCAGAGTCACTTGGAGAGGTTTACTGAAATGTCAAGGCCTGGAATAGAGGCCAATTAAAATAAGAGCTTTGGGAGATGAGGCATGAGGAGTGGTTTTAATACGCCCAGGGCTGAGACCCACTGTGGGAAGGATCACGCATGCATGTTCACACGTATTTATGGACGTCACCTCGGTTTAGGCAGCACCGTGCCTGACAGTACTCCAAAATGTCATCAACCACAGATGATTCCTACAGGCGAGGGAAGTGAAATGGGAAAGGAAAGTACCTGTCTGTTTGTGTGGTGTCACGTGATTCCAACACACCGTGTGTGTGCTTGATTCCAGGCTCGGCTCACCAAAGAGCACCGCTGGGGAAGCGCGCTACTCTCGAGAAACCACTCCCTAGAAGAAGAGTTTGAAAGGGCGAAAGCGGCGGTGGAGGTAACTTTTCTTCAAATTCAGTTTTTCTATTTCATGCTCCTGAGAATGGCATTCAGAAACCAAACGTCGGCAAAATAGAAATGAAACGGGTCTTCCATTATAGACATGAAATAGCTATGATTGTGATTGTCAGAATGAGACAGTCATTTGGTACAGAATCTGGTACAATCAGTGTACCTGAGAACATTGGATTTCCCACCAGAGATGACAGATACATATGATCCCTTACGCCAATTTGGCAATAGATGAGCAGAGACTGTCGGGAGTCAGTTTGGCGATCGATTACCAATAACTGTCAGGAGTCTTGGGCCAGAAAGGACTCTGAGTCTGGTCTAGGTTCTGTGGTGAAGCAGTGCTGTGGATTTGCTGGGCCTCTGTGAGGCCACGGTTCATGCCTCATATTTTTCTGTCTCTCGCATCTAACACAGGGTCTGAAACCGAAGGTCTTGCTGCTCATAGGATATATCTTTTCCTAATTAGGTGAGCAAAGGGCATGGCTGGAATATTCTAGCTAACGGATAGTTCATCTCGACTTGAGCCAATTGTATTATAAGAATGTCCAAAACATTGTTGATAATTCAAATGAATACCTGATTGGAACATTGATTTCTATATTTAGCCTTCTAATAAGAAGGCGCGAGAAAGAAAAGGGAAGAGGTAGGAAGGAAGGGAGGAAAGAAGGGAAGTTTAAAAAAAAAAAAAAACCTAAATAAACAGAAAGCAGCTTTTGCTGTTTTTTTTAATCCATTTCCTTCGTGGGTAGACTCCGAAAGAGTGCATCACAGATGCTGTCTCTGCAACCCATCAGAGCTTTGCTAGATTGCTGTTTGAGAGTGGAGCTTTTCACTGAACTTAGGAACTTGTTGGAACCTCCATTTCTATGACGGATATGAAATCTTGAAAATTGAAAGCGTTTCTAGAATATGGTTCATTTATGTGATTTGTCTTCCTAGAATTTGGATGAAATGATTACACTAAAGGGTGGTTTTTCAGTCCCTCTATACTTGAAGTGTGATAAAATTTGCAGTTTCATATTAAAAGGATTCTTTCTATTCTGAAAGACTTCCAGCTGCAATTTCAGATTATTATTCAGAAAGCCAATAAAAGAACACTTTTATCTCACCACAATACTTTCTACCTAAATTCCTTAATTTTAGCTTTTTTTTAAATAAAGAAAAAAGCTAATGAATATTTAGTGCCCTTGAATGTGATCAGCTGATGTATTTCATTGAGACCAGCTGAGTTCAATCAAATTGTTCAAATGCATAGCGCCTGTAGCCCAATTTACTTTAAATGTAGGTTTTCCAAAATTAAGAGCTAATTTAAATCTTATCTTTTGAACTCCTACTGTGCATAGCACACTGAAATACCACTAAAAAGACTATTTTAAACCTGTTGAATCTTGGGTAAGTAAAGAAATTTAAATTTATCAAGTCTCATTTGTAATGAGAAAGTTAATGAATTCACATTCAAAGACTTAATTACACAGTAACAGATCAACAAGATAAAAATATCTATCAAGATATATGTATTCCCCAGTCATTTAATCTTTGCCTTGGTAGAGACCTTAGAAGTCATTATCCCCCATACAAACCAAAAAGTTTTTTCTATGAAAACACTTCACAAATTATCACCCTGTTTCTACTTGAACACTTCCAATTAGGGGCAACTCACTGTTTTTCAAGAAAACTCACTTCCATTTTGGACAGTACTAATTATCAAAAAGTTCTTTATTTTTATTTTTATTTTTTTAATTTTTTTTGAGACGGAATCTCGGTCTGTTGCCCAGGCTGCAGTACAGTGGTGTGATCTCAGCTCACTGCAACCTCCGCCTCCCGAGTTCACACGATTCTCCTGCCTCAGCCTCCCGAGTAGCTGGGACTCCAGGCACACACCACCACGCCCAGCTAATTTTTTGTATTTTAGTAGAGATGGGGTTTCCCCATATTGGCCAGGATGGTCTCAATCTCCAGACCTTGTGATCCACCCACCACCACGGCCTCTCAAAGTTGCTGAGATGGCAGCCGTGAGCCACCCGCCCAGCCAAAGAGTCCTTTCTTGTATTTTGCTGAAGTTGGCCTGCCACCAAGTTGCAGTTTTGCTTGGTCTCAGTGTTGCCCGCCCTGGAGCAAGTCAGAATTAGGCTTTTCTCTTCATGCTCCTCTCACCCCAGCAAGCCACATCTCCTGGCTTCTCCTTGTCTGTGCTGGGAACTGAGTTGTTATTTCAACTTGTCACTAATATTATATAACAACCTATATCTCATTAACCAATGCAGGCTTCAGTTTTGTGCCTCTATGATCCCTTCCTGTTACAAAATCCTAGGAGGCTATAAGTTACTTCAAGCAGTTATTCATCCAGCAAACCACACTGGCTGCTGGTCTGGGTTCTACAGATAAATAAATGGTCCAGCATGACTGAGCAGTCTAACGATTGTGTGGTCCACGGGACCAGTCTGGACACGCCCCTTGTTCACTCTGTGTTGCTGTCACATCGCCTGTTAGGTGAGCGGCCTGGATTCCCAATATACTGAAACTTTATGAGTTTATGTCTAAAAGAACGGTAAGTACAGAATTCCCAGCAAATCAGAAAACAGTAAGCAAAGTTGCTTAACTAGAAGCCTGGTGCTGAGAAGCCTCCCTGAGGAATGAAGGGAGGTGGTGCCCACCACAGGTGTGAACAGGTGTGGGGAAGAACGTGTGTGAATGCATGGGGAGGGAGGAGATAACGTGTTTCCATTCAGCTCATGGTAAATCATGCCTTCAAAACTGCACACATATGTGGATTATTTACTTCCAGACATTATTCTTATCCAAGGTATTATCTAAATTCATGGTAGAAGACATAATAATATGCCTCAAAAGAGTCTTGGAAATATGTATGCCCATCGACCCTGTCACTTTGCAGAATTTGTCCTGGAGAAGTAACCTGAAAGTTGCAATATTTTATCTGTAGAATTTCATTAAATAGTGAAAATTTGGAAAAAGCCAAAGTGTCCCGTAACAGAGTTTGTCTGAATTATATCCTTATAGCACAATACTATGTAATGATTAAAAATGCCTAGTGATAATTGGAATAGTAGTTTATGCATGGAAAGTCTTACAGTGTAATCCCCACTTTGCAAAATAATAGCGTAAAAGCTGACGTGCAGAAGGATGTACTACATACCGGGCCCTAAACCAGGAGCGTTCCATGGCTTATCTAACACAGCAGTCCTATGAAGAAAGTAAGGTTACTTCCCCACTTTGCAGATGAGAGAACTGAGGCTTAAGACATGGCAGACACTTACATAGCATTTTATAAGCAATTAAGATAGACTGAAAGTCAACTAGCAAATTTCAAAACAAGTTTAGCAAGTGGCAGAGCAGCAATTCTCGCCCAGACTCCGGAGTTTGTGTTCTGAACCACTGCATCGTGTGAACATGAAGATAGTTTGTCGTAGTCCGTTTGAGCTGCCGTAACAAGGTCACCTGAGACGTGGTAATTTATAAGTAATAGAAGTGTATTGCTTGCAGTCTGGAGGCTGAAAAGTTCAAGATAAAGTTGCCAGCAGATTTGGTGTCTGCTGAGGGCTGGTTCCTCATGGATGGCAGTGTCCATCTTGCTGTGTCCCCACATGGCAGAGGGCGAGAGAGGCTAACACACCCCCCAGGCCTCTTGTGTAAAGGCGCCAACCCCATTCATGACAGGCCCGCCCTCATGACCTAACCACCTCCCAAAGGCCCTCCCTCAATACCATCTTTGGAGTTAGCTTTCAACACAGGAATTTGAGAGCGCGCGTTCAGACCATAGCAGATTCTGTGCCCAGATGTTGCCAGTGGTTATTCTGGGGTGGCTGGATTTGGAATGGTTTTTTTCCTTCTTCTGTTGGCTTATTTGTATTTTCCAAATGTTCCATCATAAAGATGTATTCTGTTGGTAATCAAGGGGAAAGCTGTAAGTCAGAGACTCTACAGTGGGATATGAGATTCTTAAAAGGACTGAAAGTGTCTTCTTCTTTATTTCAAGACAAGGAAAGAATGGTGATGCAGATTGCCTTCATCAGAGGCAATTTTCAATCCTGGGAAGCTCCAGATGAAAATCATGCCTGGAGCGAGTTGAATTGTTCCAAAATCTCTGCCTTATGATTTTATGTCATCTGATTCCAATGTTCTTCCTGTTTCACATCCTGTTCCATTTTTCGTCATCGTCCTGCCTGACGATGGGCCCCTGGCCACCTCTCCGCTCTCTCTCCTGCTGCTCAGTCCCGGTACTGAGCTCAAGGTGTTTTGGCTCCTGCCTTTGTCTCTGTTCCTCTCCCACACCCGAGTTCACTGCCCACCGTCCCTACCTTCTCTTCTGTCTCTGAGGAGTGCTCTTCCCCCAGGGGCAGGTTCCTTCATGCCATTCAAACTTTAGCTGGATTGCCAATGCCTCAGAAAAACTGCCCCTGACCACTCAGCTGCCATCACATCACCTGGGCCTTGGTTTTTCATCCTAGCATTTATCACTGGGTCCTTTCTTGTTTGTTTTTATTTATTTATCTGTCTATGATCTGTCTTTCTACTTTAAAAATTCAGACTCCTGGAGAAAACGGGCCTTGTCTCTTATTTACCACTGTACCCCAGTATCTAGAACAATTTCTGGTACCTACAGATAATCAATAAGTATTTGTGGAATGAATGGATGGATGAATGAAGCGAATGGAATCTGTTTATAAATGAATGTCAATCACTTTGTATGGGTCACACTTTTTTCCATCTGTCTAGTGTATGTGAAGTTCCGTATAATCCTCCGTCATAATGGTGTCTCCATTTTAATAGCTGATGTAAACAGTTCTGCCTGGAGCATGCAGATTTCTGCCTGGGACCTGGCTGCAGTGTCCTCTGTAGGTGGCTTGGTGTCAGTGTCAGTCTGAGACACATTTATAAGAATGCAGGCTCTAACCAATCTTGCCAATAACATTGGGCCTATTTTGTGTTTTACATGGTATGAACTCATTTTCACTTAAATTAAGTAAT